AATAAATAAATAAATAAATAACTTAATTAAATAAAATAAAGTTTATTCTTTTTTTAATTTGGCTAAAATTCCATGCACTATACAATAGCATCTAGTAGACAGTAGAAAAATAGATAGTAGATGCTACTACTATAATTTTGCTGTTCTGAACAAATGTTATTAAGAAAGATCCTTTTGAAGTTATTTTTTGGGATGTGGGTGTTTCCTTCACTTAAGTGTGAAATGTGGTCCGTCTTATAATGCGTGTTAGTATTATACAATAAAAGTGGCAACATCTTTGGCATGAACAAAGAAGTACCCTTCACAGCGCTTGTTATAAAACACCTGATTTCTATCAGGCATTTTCCCACAGGATCAGCTAAGATAGGAGTTTTAATTTCATGGTGGGCATTGTCCTTGCTCACCACTGCTAGGCCCTTGGTGAGTCATCCAATCAGCCTTCATCACTTCCAGGTAAACTTGAGTGCGGGCCCTGAGATACAGCAGGGAATCAGCATTGTCACAGATCTGGATAGAAAAGGCTGGGGGCTCAGCTGGCCCCTTGGGCCTTATTTCTTCATCTGTAAGAGAAACTCAATTCCTAAAACAAGATCAAGGGCTGCACTGCAGAGCTCAGCAGGCTTTGGTGTCCTCAACTCAACCCTAGATCTTGGTGTGGAAAAAAACTACCAAGGGTCTGCAGAGATGAAGTTGGAATTTTAAAAAAATGAACGTGTATGGAGAATTAGGAGAGGAATGGGAAACAGCCCCAAAGAGCAAAGTGAAGTACAGAGACGCACATGTAGCGCACCTGCCTCTTATTCAGAATCTTCCGTGGCCCTGAGCCATGCAGCTCACATGCTGCACAGGTGCCCAACACAGGGGTCCTCACAGGTGTCTGGTCCCAAAGAGCCCCTGCTTTAAGATGTTCCTTTATGCATCATCTATAAATCCCTATTGGTTTCAGCCCTGGACACCCTACCCTCACTCTGTTTAACAAAAGTAAAAGTTTGAATTTCTACTTTTTTGTTGTTAAGACAGAGTCTTACTCTGTCACCCAGGCTGGAGTGCAGTGGCACGATCTCAGCTCACTGCAACCTCTGCCTCCCAGGTTCAAGCGATTCTCCGGCCTCAGCCTCCCGAGCAGCTGGAATTACAGGTGCCCACCACTACACCCAACTAAGTTTTGTATTTTTAGTAGAGACGGCGTTTCACCATAACAGCCAGGCTGTCTCAAACTCCTGACCTCAAGTGATCCGCCCACCTCAGCCTCCCAAAGTGCTGGGATTACAAGCGTGAGCCTGGCCTGAATTTCTTTTTATTACTGAAATGCTTGGGGAAGATCAATTTCCCAGTAGCAGCCAATAATTAAGCCTTTGAAGCATTGGGGCCACCAAATTCGAGTTCATTTATCTTTGGCAACTAGAGGCACAACTTACTAAACACCAACACACACCATGCAGTTCGGCTGTTGGTGCAGTTGCCTGGGGTGTTTCTTCCCTTTCAGAGTCTTCAATCCAAAATGGCAACAGTCGTATTATCAGTATCAATTCCCCCTCCCTTGTCCTTCTGCAGATTTATGACTGCCTCCAGGAGTTTAAAGAAAAGAAACTAGTTCCTGCCACACCCCATGCACAGGCGTTATCCTATGAGGTAAGGAGGTTTTATTCCACGGAATAGTAGAGCCCTGATGTGGTGCCATTTTACCCGCATTGCTAGTTCAAATAAATTAAAGGTTCTAAGGAAAAGTTTTATTGATGACTATAAAATAATTTAATATTTTTTAATAAAATAAATAAATAATAAATAATAAATTAATTAAATACAATAATCTAATAATTTTTTTTTGAGACGGAGTCTTGCTCTGTCACCCAGGCTACAGTGCAGCAATCTTGGCTCACTGCAACCTCCGCCTCCCGGGTTCAAGCTATTCTCCTGCCTCAGCCTCCCCAGTAACTGGGATTACAGATGCCCACCACTGCATCTGGCTAATTTTTGTATTTTTAGTAGAGACGGGGTTTCACCATCTTGGCCAGGCTAGTCTCGAACTCCTGACCTCGTGATCCACCCGCCTTGGCCTCCCAAAGTGCTGAGATTACAGATGTGAGCCACCACGCCTGGCCTAATAAATGTTTTTAATTGAACTTTAATATAAGGAAGAACTGGCTGGATATCTCCCCAAATTAAAACACTTCCCCACCACCACCACCTACATCATTTTTAGCATGTGTCCATTTCTTTCTTTGTTCCTAAATCTTGTACTCTATTTACCCTACAGAAACAGGGTAATGTTATAGTAATAATTCTCAGATTTACATCTCTAGCCTGGAGATTTCCCCCCAAATTCCAGTCTCAAATATCCAACTGCCTCCTCTCCATCTTACTTGGATGTCTAATGGACTCCTCCAAGTTCACATGTTCCAAACTGAGCTCCCGATCCTCCTCACCTGCCAATCACCCCCACCCACTCTTCTGGGAGCCTTTTCTATCTTAGAAATGACACCTGTGTTCTTGCAGTGCTCAGGCCAGAATCTTAGGGGTCATTTTGACTCTCTTTCTCTGATACCTCACACCCAATCAGATAGCAAATCCTCTCAGCTCTACTTTCAAAATATATCCAGGATCTCACCAAAATATATCCAGGATCTCACCACTCCATACCATCATCATCATCTCTTACATAGAGAATTGCAAAATCACCTCCTGCCTGGTCTCCGGTGTCCACTCTTGCTCCCCTATAGTCTACTCTCAATGCAGCAACCAAACATATCGTCTTTGAAAGCAAGTCAAATCATGTCACTTCCTCACTAACACCCAAACCCTTCAAATGACTTCCCATCTCAGAGTAAACACCAAAGATTTTTTTTTCCAGAGTCTTGCTCTGTCGCTTAGGCTGGAGTGCAGTGGCGAGATCTCAGCTCGCTGCAACCTCTGCCTCCTGGGTTCAAGCGATTCTCCTACCTCAGCCTCCCGAGTAGCTAGGACTACAGAAACCCACTATGCCTGGCTAACTTTTGGTAAACACAGGGTTTCACTGTGTTGGCCAGGATGGTCTCAAACTCCTGACCCTAAGCCATCCACACGGCTTGGCCTCCCAAAGTGCTGAGATTACAGGTGTGAGCCACCATGCCTAGCCTAAACACCAAAGTTCTTACATAGCCAAACACTATCAAGCTGCTGTTACCTCTTTGACTTCACATTTAATGCTTTCCCCATTCACTCTTCTCCAGCCACCTTGACTCCTTGTTGTTGCTTAAATTCATCGGGCTAGGTGCGGTAGCTCATGCCTATAATCCCAGCACTTTGGGAGCCTGAGGCAGGCAGATCACTTGAGCCCAGGAGTTCAAGACCAGCCTGGCCAACATAGCAAAACCCCATCTCTCCTAAAAATACAACAACAACAACAAAAATTAACTGGACGTTGTGGTGCATGCCTGTAATCCCAGCTACTTGGGAGGCATGAGAATGGCTTGAACCCAGGAGGTGGAGGTTGCAGTGAGCTAAGATCATACCACTGCACTCCAGCCTGGGTGACAGAGTGAGACTGTGTCTCAAAAAAAAACAAAAACAAAAAAAACAAATCATCAGACATGCTTCTGCCTGGGGCCCTTTGCACTCGCCATTCCCTATGTCAGCAAAGCTCTTGCCCAGGTATCCACCTGATTTGTCCCTCATCTCCTTCCAGTCTCCACTCAAATGCCACCTTCTCAGTGAAGCTTTTCCTGGCCACCTGTCTAAAACTGCATCCCCTCCTAGCACTCCCTAGCCACCTTCCCTGGTTTATTTTTCTTCTTAACACTTGTCACCATCAAACAAAACTATTTTACTTACATTTTCATTTGTTATCTGTGTCTCCTCCCTAGAGTGTAAACTCCGTGAGATGGAGATTTTTTGTCAGCCGCTGCTGTTTTCACAACACCTAAAATAGCACCCAGCACATAGTAGTGTTAGTAAATGTTTGCCAAGTGAATGAATAGATATAATTGATTTTATTATTTATTGCCCAAACCATACTAAAAGAAACAGCAAAAAAGAAAGAAAAAACTTCTACTCTCAATTCCAGTAATCAACAACTCAAATTGTTCTCAGTTGTCCACAGGAAAACACGTATATAATATTTTATTCAGTTGAAATCCCAGTGAATGGAGGTAAACCTTTGTAAACTGCTTGTTTTCATTTGACTGTAGGTAATGGGGCTGACTAAAGTCTTGAAAGGTCTTATGTCCTCTGAAAGCAGGTCTACACCTAAACCACAGCAGAGAGATCAGAATTTTTTTCTGCTTAGCACTTTTTATTGTAACAAGCATTAAAATTGCTAATCAACTGATACTCTAAAAGAGAAATTATGATTCCCATTTTCTATTTGAAGAATGGAGCATCCCATGGGATTAAGCTCTTTGAGTTCCCCAGGTACGTTCCTAGAGAAACTCATACAGCTTCATAAGCCTGCAAAGCATTGACATCAGCAAACAGCTATTATATTTTAGAGGCACTAGAGGAAAAATGCCTTGGTTCATATGCTATTACCAAATTGGTACATCCTCCATGCCTATGTGCCAGGACTGGGGCATTGGGTTTAGATCCATCTCAAATCTTGAATTCTATTTGTTATATTAAAGTAGCAATTTTAATGAATAAAGAAGGATGGTAGGCTTTAATGGATGGCTTTAAAGATGAAAAAGAAGGCTCCAATAATAACTTTTTAAAGGTCAATATCACGTTAGTCAGTATATATGTTATCCAGTCAGAGTGAGGTTACATAGGTGATAAAGATTTTTTAAAAAATTTCATAATGTATGTTTTTCCATGAACCAGGTAGTGGAGTTATTACGTGAAACCCCTACTTCCCCTGAGATCCAAGAGCTGAGACAAATGCTCCAGGCTCCACACTTTAAGGCAAGTGCCTGCTAAAATAGAAAAGACGTCCCCATCTGGCACATAGACAAAGTTGGGAAGGAGAAATATATGTGATGGAAAATGTTCTCTCTGAATAATGTTCTATTACTGTACATGGGGACTGACCAACAGATTGTACTTAAATATGTGGGACTCAGATGTGACTAGCTCAGTGTTGTCAATCATGCAGCCAAGCCTGCTGTGTTTATGAGGAGGCATCCAGAACTTTCCATGGTGCTTTGTTTCCCCTACAAAGCTATTGCCCATCTAAAAATCTTGAGTAGCAAACAGGGAACATTCTAGTTTTAGAGAAATACCTTCATGCTTCCTTTCCAAAGTGGGACTATTTTAAGTTTTAGATAATGTGTGTGGAGGTATTTAGAATATACAGTATAATGATGATTATCCCTATGAGAGGATTTATGAAGAACATTTGATTGCAGAACAGAAACCTATCTCTTAGTACTTAGAGATTTGAGACCAATTTATCAATAAATTAGAACTTTAAGAGAATGTCTGCATTTGGAGTGCTGAAATTTATCAGTCAAAAATTATAGTTCACAACACAACCACCAGTCATCAAATATCCTCAACGGCACACACTACTTAGAGAATTTTCTGAGTTCCAACTAAATTCTGTCTACCAATCTCAGGGCAGCAAAGTGACAGCTTCCCCACCCCGTGAAATGAAGAATTTAACCTAATGGGCTAGTCAAAGAAACTCTTTGATCATAGCTTATGATCAAAGAGTTTGATCATATGAACTTTTCATTCTGTACCACGAGCGCTTGAGTGTTACTAACAAATTAAACCAGCAAGATATTTTGATTACTGCCCTTCATTCTACCTTAATTAGGGAAAATATTATAAAAGTTGTTTTGTAGTTCAAACTCCACAGGGGCATCACAGATTACATGGGCTGCCAGGAAATAAGAATGTCGTGGCATAATACATTTTAGCAGAAATGAAAGAGTGTATTGTGCATTGCTTAACCTCTCTGTGCCTTATTTCCTTATCTGCAAATTGAGGACAACTAATGTACCTGCCTCATAGAATTATTGTGAGGATTGGATTAATTCATATAAAATGCTTCGCACTGTGTCTGGCATGTCTGTATTGATGTTTGTTGTTGTTGTTGTGTCTTAGTATTGAGTCACTATCTTCTAGAGGGGCTTGGCCCATGTGTGACATTTGCTCACCTTTTCCTTCCCTGTGCCCAGGCCTTGCTCAGTGCCCATGACACGATAGCTCAGAAAGATTTTGAACCCCTTCTCCCTCCGCTGCCAGACAATATCCCTGAGAGTGAGGAAGCAATGAGGATTGTTTGTTTGGTGAAAAACCAACAGCCCCTGGTAAGGAAATCATTTTTTATATTTCCATTTAGGATATGCTTAGGTTAATTGTGAACCAAATTATATCTAGTGGTTACTTGGGCAGTAGTCTTCCCTGCGATCACATATACAGTGATAATAACAGCTGTCAACTCTACAGGTTTTGCCTGTGGTTTCAAACATATTACATGTCATGGTGTTTTCTCTAAGGAAAGATTTCAGCTTAGTGTTTTTCTTTTGTGAAAAGTAAGATGAGATTTATAAGACATTTTTGTGAGAAATAAGACGTACATATTTTATTTTAATATTCGGGCTGAGCGTGGTGGCTCATGCCTGTAATCCCAGCACTTTGGGAGGCCGAGGTGGGCGGATCACAAGGTCAGAAGATCGAGACTGTCTCTTATACACATCTAGATGTGTATAAGAGACACGGTCTCACTCTCACTCAGGTTGGAGTGCAGTGGTGTGATCATGACTCACTGCAGCCTCAGCCTCCTGGACTTGAGCAATCCTTCCACCTCAGCCCCCCAGTAACTGGGACCACTGGTGCACACTACCATGCCCAGCCAATTTTTCTATTTTTTGTTGAGATAGGGTCTCACTAGGTTGCCCAGGCTGGTGTCAACCTCCTGGGCTCAAACAATCCTCCTGCCTTGGCCTCCCAGAGAGAGCGTTGGGATTACAGGCATGAGCCACCACACCTGGCTACTGTTGTGTTTCTTAAATGAGTGATTCTATACATCCTTGCTACCCCGAAGCCCTAAAACCTGGCACATGCTTTATACTTCAACATTCTCATTGTAAATACCAAGGATTTCCTAGTTGCTAAGTCCATTGGCCCTTCCTTCCTCCTCAGTTTTGTGTGTGTGTGTGTGTGTGTGTGTGTGTGTGTGTGTGAGAGAGAGAGAGAGAGAGAGAGAGAGACAGTCTCACTCTATCACCTAGGCTGGAGTGTAGTGGGGCAATCACAGCTCATTGCAACCTCTGCCTCCCAGGTTCAAGCAATTCTCCTGCCTCAGCCTCCAAAGTAGCTGGGATTACAGGCGTATACCACCACCCCAGCTAATTTTTTTTGTATTTTTAGTAGAGACAGGGGGTCGTCATGTTGGCAAGGCTGGTCTCGAACCTCTGGCCTCAAGTGGTCCACCCACCTCGACCTCCCAAAGTGCTAGGATTATAGGCATGAGCCACCACACCTGGCCCCTCCTCAGTTTTATTTCCAGTTCTTGACCACATCTGATGCTGTTGACACCTTTCTTGAATTTTTTTTATCATCCTTGGTTTCTGTTCTGTGACATCATTCTGCTTCTTCTCTCAACTATCTGACAACTCCACTGTTTTACCTCACATTTCTCAGATCTTAACTTAAACCCCAAGTTTCTCCACATTTTCCCTTTTGAAGAATACCTACCCCATTTTATTTTTGTCATTGACTTACGACCCTGACATCTTTGTTTTTAGTGCTATTTTCTTACCAGTGTTCTGGTTCCATTTTACAACATCAGACTAGCAAAAATAAAAGTAGTACCATCAGTCAATGCCAAGTATTTGTGACAAGGTAGAAAAATGGACTGCTCACACATTTCTGGGGGCGACGTAAGCTGGAATAACCAGTTTTCTTTTCTATTATTATTTCATATTAAACACTTTTAGAGCATGCTTGGATTAGTGAGTTTGTTAAATAACTATTGAGGTAGCTACTGCTATTTTTATCCTACTTCTTTGTATCTTTCTTTGTTTTGTGTTACTGTCTGCCTAGGGTTGCTCTATGCTGGAGACAAACTGGTAGAAGTGAATGGAGTTTCAGTTGAGGGACTGGACCCTGAACAAGTGATCCATATTCTGGTAAATCTTTTTGCTTTTTTGTTAATGATTTGTATAAATGCCAAGGCTGAACTGGGCCCATCAAGCCTGTGTGTGTGCACTGGGATGTACCGGGGACTTGAGTTCTTTTGGCAGCTTTCTCCCTCCAGGCTCCCAGACCTTGTCTGTCACCCATGTCACTTACTGACCTCCCTCCTCTACCCTGAGAAGTTCTGGTCCTGGCTGGAAAACTCCCCTTCCCAAGTTGCTCCTTCCTTCTTCAGCCACGGGAAGACTGCCAGGGCCCCCAGCCCAGCTCCCTCATCACCTGGTTTGCTCCATTGGAAACTGAGCCTGGGGTGGACAGAGTGAGACTTTGTAGGAGAGTCTGAACCTGAGCAAACCACTCCTTCCCCCACTAACACTTTTCTACAGCTGAAATGTTTAACTCTTCCTGGAGGGCAGCTTTGGGAGAATAAAGGAGTCACCAGACAGCAGCATACAGGGAGGGGACATCCTTGGTGACCCGCCACTGTTCTTGTGGTTGGAGCTAAGGATTGATAACCTGATTCATGAGCATTTGCTCTCCCTCAGGTTCCTATTTCTGCCCTTCAAACCATTCCCTGAATCGCAGTTCAGCTGTTAATAGTCATAGCAGCATGCCCCTCCCACCTCCCCCCATGCACATCCCCGGTGTGGGGACTAGGTTGATTACTATACAATATACTGGATAGATCAGTGGTTCTCAAACTGGGTTCCTGCCAGGATTTCATAGCAGTGGCTTAGAGAGTGAGGTGAGGAGTGGTGCTATGAGACAAGCACGTAAATCCTTTGTAAGACACTGCTGCAAGATTCTGTGTGGTGTAGAAGGTGCTGCAAAGGAAGCTTGAAGTACTAGAAATCACAGATATGCATGGCTTCTACCCCCTGGTGCCAGCTGTGATGTTGCCCAGGACAGTGGGATTATGAAATTCCTGAGTACAAACAGGGTCTTAATCTCTATATGTTTAATGCCCGTCGCAGTGCATGTAACAGGAATTCTTCCTTCCCCCAGTCTGAGAGCTCCCTATTTCCACCATGAGTTTGGAAAGTTGTCAGTTCTCCCAGAAAACTTAGGAGCCCCTCTTCTTCCCCATCAGACTGGGGTATCTGGTGTAGAAACAGGCATTCAGGAAATATTTACTGAGTAAGGACGTAAGGAGGGAAATTCAGATGGAGATCCTGTCTCTCCCTAGGGCCTGTGTGAGGAAGACCTTGATAGGTGGGGTGTTTCTGTTTCAGTGTGGGGTGGGAGGGTCCCTGGAAGAGGCCACCTCAGTGTGGCTTTTAACAGACCAGTGACCCTAGAACCCCACAGCAGGGCAGATGTAGGGGTAATTTGCTTCCTAATTTCCATTTCTGGATGGTGACAGCTGCAGAGCCCTTGAGAAAGGCTCTTGGGGGATGTCACCATGAGACCTGGATACATTGCACTGTAACTCTGTCTACCGAGCCCCAGTAACCCTGCTAGCTCCACGATTGCCATCCTTTCTCCTCTCTCATTTTCCAGGCCATGTCTCGAGGCACAATCATGTTCAAGGTGGTTCCAGTCTCTGACCCTCCTGTGAATAGCCAGAAAATGGTAAGAATTTACTGAGTCTTCAATCTCACACACAGTAAATCCCCAAGTAACAGCAACTAAATATGATGCATAATAATCCTATCCTTTGTACTGTGTTGGACCTGGGCTCAAGACTGTGTTGGGTATTTTTCAATACTGATGGCCCAAGAAGCAAAATGAGTAAATGAGTACAGTATAAGGAGATGGGATACTAAGAAGTCAAGAAGCAACATCAAAAATTGTGAACATTTGAGCTTGAACTTCTCTAAGCTAAGAGATTCTGTTCCCAAAGATGCTTTTTATCATGGTACTTAGGCTCAGGAGGCAAGTTCTCTTTTTTGGTGAGGGTGGAGAGGAAAGATAGGAGTAGCAGGTCGAGGAGTGGGAGAAATGGTTTTAAGTCATGATGGCCCATGGGCAAGGGTTCTTCAGATGGCACCATTAGGCACGTTCTGATAGCATCATTATGCACCTGCCATCAGGTGTATGTTCGTGCCATGACTGAGTACTGGCCCCAGGAGGATCCTGACATCCCCTGCATGGACGCTGGATTGCCTTTCCAGAAGGGGGACATCCTCCAGATTGTGGACCAGAATGATGCCCTCTGGTGGCAGGCCCGAAAAATCTCAGACCCTGCTACCTGCGCTGGGCTTGTCCCTTCTAACCACCTTCTGAAGAGGTAAGGAACGTCAGCACTCCTGTACTCAGGGCTGAACCATAAGGAAACAAAATGTTTTTCTTGGGCTTCTGTTACCACAGTTAAGATGAGATAAAGAGGGACAAGCAGATGAATGAGCACACACACACACTGGTTTATATATCCAAATGTCAACTTATTGATAAATACTAAGCATCTTAAATACGAAGGAGACGAGAATAATCATATCAGCTAGAAAACAGGGAAAAGTCTTGGGAAACTAAATTAAACTTAAAAAGTGCTATGGCCTGAATGTTTGTGTCCCCTCCAAAATTCATATGTTGAGACCTAATCCCCAGTGCAATAGTATTAAGAGGCGGGGCCTTCAGCAGGTGGTTAGGTCATGAGCACTCTGCCCTCATGAATGGGATTAGTACCCTTATAAAAGAGGCCTGAGGGAGCTTATTTGCCCCTTCCACCTTGGGAGGACACAGCTAAAAGCCGCCATTTATGAGTCACGGAGTGGGCCCTCCCCAGACACTGCATCCACTAGCTCCTCGATCTTGGATGTCCCAGCTTCCAGAACTACGAGCAAATACATTTCTGTTGTTTATAAGTGACCCAGTTTACTGTACTTTGTTATAGAAAACTGCACAGACTAAGACAAAAAAGGATTCATCTTTCAAGGCTCAGTTGAGACCTCAGTTACTAAATTTCAACCTACCACCCTCACCTTATGTTACTGAGGTTTGATGAGCTACCAAGGGAGGGCATACAAATAGAAAGAAGCAGCAGTCCCAGGCTCAGCCACTGTTAAGAGATCAGGAAGGAAAAATGGAACCAGTAAAGGATATTGGGAAGGAATGACCAGTGAGGCAGAATGAAAATCAAGACTGTATGGGGTCCTCATCAGCTATAGCACCTTCTGCTAAGAAGGCTGAGAATTGACCATTGGATTTAGCAGTGTGACAGTCATTAGTGATCTTAATAAGAACAATTTCAGTGGAGAAGTGGGGCCAAAATCCTCATTAGAGTGGGATTTGAAGAAATGGATGAGCATGGGAAACTCTTTGAGACATTTTGGGATAAAGCAGAGCAGAACAATGGAGAAATAGCCAGAGGGGAGAGTGGAGTGGTGTGAGCAAAATGTTTAGATGCTGTAAGTAATGGGAGTCATCCAGCAGGGGAACATTTGATGATATGGGAGAAGGAGAAGAGAATTGCTGTTGTCGATGTCTTTGAGCGGGCAGAAGGAGATATGCTTTAGTATCAAGAAGAGGGCTTGGCCTGCCCTGTGATCATAAACAGCTCATCCTTAGAAATGGTACCACAAGGGAAGGCAGAGTATGGGGCACAGCTGAGCATGCAGCATATGGCAGGCGCTTGTGGAAGTTCTCTCCTAACTGTTATTTTCTCAGTGAAATGAGGAACCATAAGCAGAGAGCAGGCTGGGGAAGGAGGCATTGGGAAGGAGAGAATAGAAAGCTTGAAAAGTTTCCATGCGAGTTGGAGACAAACAGATTAGGTAAACACAGTGTGATCAGCATTCAGGGACCTCTTAAGTTAAAGGTCACACATCTGAAGTGCTTCTGGGGTGCGGGTCCAGATTAGACGGAGGGTTGGATTTAGCAGCAAATCAAGAGGGGGCCAAGAGACAGATGATAAGGATGGAGTGTGACATGTAAGCTGCTTAGGAGGGAGATGAGGAAATGAAACACGTGAGGATTGGTGAGAAGGAAGTAAGATCAATGGATTGCAGGTCTTTATGAGGTCAACAGTGTATTGGGGCTGGGAAGATGGGAGGTGTTAGTAGGAGAAAGGGATACTGGAAGTTAAAATTAAGGAGAGATTGTTGTTGTCGGTACTGATGAGGTCTTGGGTATAACAATGGGAGGAGGTGGCTGAGGTTGAATGAGTGAAAGGTTATTGGAAAAGTGGAGATCAAGCACCCACTAGGCCAGCGTGCTGAAAGGGACATTTGTATGTGTGATAAAATCATTGAGAACTGTGACAGAACAGTGTTGAGACCTAAGAGCGAGCAGGAGTGAGCTGGTGATGGCTACCAGAAAAGTAGTGGGATGATATTCAAAGCTGGGGGCTCCTAGGAAAAGGAAGAATAATCTGGAAATGGCAGTGAGAAGCAAGGACACACCCCCACCTCCAGGCCCAGTGGAAGGAAGGCTATACACAGGGATGTGCTGGAGCCATCTGAGCCATTTCCTCACACACCCACATTCGGTGAAGACGGGGTGGTAGCTTGAAATCAGCCACCGTGAGAGCATCAACACTGCAGAAATCAGCAGAGGCTCCGAGTCAGGGCTCCCATCCCCCAGAGCTATTTCACCAGCACCGCACTGGGAGTGGGAGAGGAAACATCCCCCTCTTGAAGGCTGCAGGGGAAACAGACTGCAGGGAGAGCTAGGCTGCAGTTAGAGCAAGAAGAAAGGGCTCAAGGAAGAGGCTGAGATCTAAGAGAGTTTGCTGAAGATTTGCTGTGAGTTCCAGAGGGCGTGGGTGGCTGGCAGGGGTCTTATAGGGATTAAAGCACAGGGGATAAGGGGTGACCTGAGCTTGGGGGCTGAAGGACATGAACAGGGATAAAGGCCTAATGAGATTAGTCCTCATGGTTTCAGGTCAGAAAGTGGTGAGGGGGGACCAGCAGGGGTCTTGCAAGGAGCACACAAAACCCAATTATGGGTTTATTGGGGGAGCACACACAAGTAAAGGATGATAGGAAGTTCATATGCTGCTTTTAGTCATTGCCACATGAAAACCTAATATTAAAATAAGAAATTAAACAATTTCATTTAGAAGCAATATGTCAATAGCAGAGTCTACACAAATGTCTTGTTGGGGACAGAATGATGGAAGGCACCTCGGGTTCTCCTGAATCTCATTCAGAAAACCAGGAGGCACATTGGAGGACTGGAGGAGGGTGTTGAGATTAAATCCACTGCCGCGTCTGCACAAGAGGCCTGTCAGAAGCACAGGCTGATGTGGCTTTTGAGAAGTCAGTATCTCTGAGCCTCAATAAATGGGGTCTTTGATATCTACAAACAATTTTTCTCCCTTCCCATTTCTCCAACTTTGCTGTGAGTAAAAATGAGCTGGGTATTTTGTAAAATACAGATTCCCTGGCTCTGCCCTCCCTTCCCTAATCCAATAGATATGAACTGAGCCAGGAATCTGCATCTTCACCAAGAACCTCAGGTGCTCAGGGTAAGTGGTATAAAGAGCAGCATTGTGCTTAAGAATAATGAATGAGCGCATAAAATATTTTTTATGCTCTTTATAAGAGTGACAGATTTGAGTGCAAGTAGCTGGGGGGGGTTGTTTTTGTTTTGCTTGCTTGTTTGTTTTTACTTTCAACAGGTAGAAAATTTACATCTGATTTTAGAAAACAGTAAAAGAGTGAGGAGGAAGGCTTCTCCAAAAAGGGCATATTGGTGGCAAATAATACCCATCTAAAGGAGTTTGGAATGACTATATTGCAAATTGGGGGAGTTAGAGTTGATGCTTTGTACCAGAGTAGCAAATATTTTTGGCAAGTGGACATGACTTTCCGGTGAGAGGCCCCATCCTGCTGGAGTTTCCACCAGAGGGAACATGTGAAGATGTTAGGATATCATTTTGTAAGAATAAAAAACCGGGAACTCCCAGAGGAGAAAGGCAAGGGTAAAGCCTAGAGAGGAAGCTGACAGAGAATGAGAGACACAGAGACAGAGATAGAGAGAGATCAGACTATCCGGTAATTAACCATGAAGTAGCCAAGGAAAGGTACAGAAGGTTAAAAAACAGGAAACACAATATTAAAGAGTTCATCACCTAACTCGGAATCAAGAATCTTGGCTCTGGCCTGCATGTGCTGTGAATTAAAGTACCTTAATTATGCAGAGAATATTTCTGGAAGAATGCACAAGAAACTGAGCAGAAGGAAGGGAAGAAGCCTTACTTTTTTTTCTTTTTTTTTTTTGAAATGGAGTCTTGCTCTGTCACCAGGCTGAACTGCAATGCCGTGATCTCAGCTCACTGCAGCCTCGGCCTCTTGGGTTCAGGCAATTTCCCTGCCTCAGCCTCCAGAGTAGCTGAGACTACAGGTGCGCACCACCACGCCTGGCTAATTTTTGTATTTTTAGTAGAGACGGGGTTTCACCATGTTGGTCAGGCTGGTCTCGAACTCCTGACCTCAGGTGATCTGCCGACCTCGGCCTCCCAAAGTGCTGGGATTACAGGCATGAGCCACCACGCCCGGCCTACTTTTTTATACTGTTAAGATTTTTACTGTGTGTGTGTGTTATCTCTTCAAATAATTAATGAATGAATTAATGAATGCCCTGCATGTCCATGCTAATTGAGTTTACAGTAAGGTTTCATGTATCATTTAGTCCTCACAATGCCTCAAATGCACTGAGCCCCATTTCATAAGTGGGGAACTAAGTTTCAGATGTTAGGAGATTTGTCCAAGATCCTGTGGAGGGGAAGCACGCCTGGAACCCAGGTCTGTTGAATCCCAGTCCATCACTTTGTAGATTATAGGATAGATGCCTCCTGCTGCTAATTGTTCAACCTCCACCACATTGCTTGACTTCCCTGGATCAGTTTCCTCATTTCTAAAGTGAGGACAGTGGCTAAATTGGCCCTTCTTAAACTCTCTTGTGAATTAGAATCACATGGAGAGTTTGATTTAAACACGCAGATGCCCTGGCCTTATCTTCAGAGAATCGGAGGCAGGAGATCTGGGAGGCCCAGATTATCTACATTTTAACAAACACCTCAGATGTATTCCAAAGTTTGAGAGATTAAATTAGAGCTTCTTGCCTTTAGCATGCATATGACTTACCTGGGCTCTTATTAAAATGGAGATTCTAATTTGGAAGGCTTGGGGTGGGGCCTGAGATTCTGCAGGTCTCACAAGCTCCCAGGGAAAGGTGATGCTGCAGTTCCGGGAATACAAAGAACAGAGTGTCTTCAAAGTCTTCTCTTGCTCCAAGCTTCACAGTGTTGAATAAAGAAGGAACAACTTTGCTTAGAAAGTTGCTTTGAAGTAGGCAAGGCAAGGAAAACCTGCCCAAAGGAATTGCTGGGGGACTCAAGGGAGGAGGAACAAGTCAACAGAGGTTTCAGGTGCCAAGAAAAGGTGAAGCCTTGCCCTCGAGCCCAGGGGTGATTCTAGAGATCAAGAAAGGAGCAGAGTCATCTAAAGAAACTGTAGAGAGCCTGTAACAGCCTGGGAGGGAAACCTGAACATGTCATGAGAATTCGAAGGAGACTGCAGAGACAGGCTAACATGCCTGAGAGGCAGCTTAACACGGGTCATTTACCGAAACTCCATGTGCAAACTTGTGATCATGGGCGAGATTGTCACTCTAAGTATTTGTTGTTCTGAAAAGATCCTGTGAGGCAGAAAAAGAGATGAGAGAGCCTATATGTTTGGAAAATTTATTTGACAATGCATTTGGAGAAGTGATCACCCTTTTCACTTGGGTGAAGGCAGCAGAATTCTAAGAAACATTCTGTTTGTCACTGTTCTGGGTCTGTTTCACCTCGGTTAACTGGGGTTGGCTTTTTGTTTTTTGTTTGTTTTTTGTCTCACGGTTCCCCACCCCCATAGGAAGCAACGGGAATTCTGGTGGTCTCAGCCATACCAGCCTCACACCTGCCTCAAGTCAACCTTATGTGAGTATTGCAACTGCCCGACAGGTTCTCCCTGTTTGCTGCACAAATGAAGACCATGGCATTGCAGTAAAGAAAGAGTCTAATTGATATGAGGCTGGCTATGCCACGTGGGAGATGGAGTTGTTATTTAAATCAATCTCCTTGAAGGCCCCTAGATTAGGGGTTGCTCAAAGGTAGTTTGGGGAGGGAGTGGGGTGGCTATTCAATGGGCACTTGCTGCTGATTGGTTGGATCAGAGATGAAATCATAGGGAGTTGAAGCTGTCCTCTTGCACTGAGTTGCTTCTGGGTGGAGCCACAGAAGCCATTGGTTGGTGGGTCCAGATGGAGCCACAGGTGTCAGACATGAAAAAACCTAAAAAGATGTCACAAAAGGCCAATCTTAGGTTCTACAATAGTGATGTTATTTGCAAGAATTATTGGGGAAATTGCATATCTTATGATATGCAGAATTCACCTTAGCAGAATTCAGGCTCCTCCCACTAACCTGATGGTCTCTCATTAGCTTTATAAAGGTGGCTGAGTTTTAGGGGAAGGCCTGTTATCATTTAAACTATAAATAAAATGTCTCCCAAAGCTAACCCTGGAATGAAGGCAGCTTGAAAGCTAAAAGCAAGAGGAGCTTGGGCTATGTTGGATCTCCCCCACTGCCATAATTTTCTCACTGACGTAATTTTTACAAAGGCAATTTCAGTATGTGGCTACCTCAGACCCAGCATGTGCATCCTGGGGGAGCCTGCTTCCTCCCTCCCGGGACTGGCTTCCTGCCCAGGAGATCTCTAAATGTCCCCACTGCTCCCAGATAGTCTCCCTGGCAGCCAGCTCTCTGAAGTCCTACCATTGACATTCGTTCTTTGGATTTAGAAGAGTTTTCAGTTAATGAAAATGCATATGTTTTTATCTTGGTGACACCTGAAGACATTCCTGCCCAAATTGAGGCCCTCCAAGATCTCCGCAGCTCATATGTGCATTATATATGACTGCAAGCAAGGCTGCATAGCTACACATATACCTTCATTTGGGTTCTATCAACTTAGAGGACTTAATCTTCACACTGTACAGAAGCACTGATTAACAATTGTGCATGCCTTTGGTGAATAAATATGGGATGGAATTGTTACTTAATGATTACAGTTTGATTGCTAGACATTATTATTGAAGCAGTTGGGGAGTGGTGAGTAAAGGCTCCATGGTGGCAAATGCTTGATTAAAGGTGCTGTGGCTTGACAGAGACCAGCTAAGCCTACTGAGCAAGGCCCTTCTGAAATGGCCCTCAGGTGGGCCCTGGAAAGGGGTTAAGGGAGGGAACTGGGCACCAGAAAGAGGGAGGGGAGGCAAAGAGAGGAGACTGGAAGGGCACAAAAAGTACCAACATCACAGATCTACCCATGGCAAGCCTCACCCACTTTATTATGTATCCCTTCTCCAAGCCAAAAATTACTTTTCCTTTTATTTTCTTATTGAAAAGATATGAGGACAACTGTAAAGGCAGTTTTTGACAGAAGAAAACATGCCTTTTCAATGACAATATTTTCATATTAACTTCCAGCAGTGAATATATATTTTACATGGTTACAGTAATAGCTGCAATAGCACTTTTTTTTTTTTTAAACTTAACATCTTTTTTTCTTTTTGAATTATACTTTAAGTTCTGGGATACATGTGCAGAACGTGCAGGTTTGTTACATAGGTATACATGTGCCATGGTGGTTTGCTGCACCCATTAACTCATCATCTACATTAGGTATTTCTCCTAATGCTATCCCTCCCCTTAGTCCCCACCCGCCAACCGGCCCCAGTGTGTGATGTTCCCCTCCCTGTGTCCATGTGTTCTCATAGTTCAACTCCCACTTATGAGTGAGAACATGTGGTGTT